GACACTATAAAGGAAGAGGTTTATGGACTAGACTACATAAAACTAAAAAAACACTGATACCTCACATTGTATGAGGTATTGTTTTTGCTAGTACAGGCTCTTACCATAAAGAAGATTAATTCCTCCAAGGAGGGAAAAAAAGGCAAAGGATTCAAATTGGCAATTCACAAATGAAGAAAAAATGGTAAATAAACATATGCAAAGCAGCTGAACCTCAACCTTAAAAATAAGCAAAGAAATCCAAATTCAAACAATATCCACTGTTGAAGAATGAGGGTGGCGCAGGGGACTGTGGGAACCAGCGGGAAGTGAGCCACAGGCAGTTTAGCAGGAATGTGGCTCTGAGCGCATCGGGCCGGCACATGCCTTCACTTTCTGGGCACGCAAAGCACAAGCGGTCTATTGGGGGAGGGAGTCCCACAGTTCACTAGAACACTGCCTTTGTAGCAAAAAAGGAGTAAAAATAAGTCCTCAAAAGACTATTTATTCCTATCCCTGTATATATTCACAAAGAAACTCTGGAAGCATTCCAAACTCGTGACAATGGTTACCTGGATGGGGAAGGGAGAAGTGGTGGGAATTAGGCAAATTATAGAGAGGAACAGAGACTTTGCCCTCTTTACATTAAGTTTTGTTTGTAATTTTTGAACCATATAAGTATATTATTTATCAAAAAATGATTTAAAATCTTGCTGTTTAATGAAAATGATAACTGTAGTTGATTGTTTTTTCCATACATACATTCCCAGATAGCACAGTGTTAGGTTTTGACATGAAGACAGAAACTACCTGCATCTGTCTCATCCTAGAATCCAGCTGTATACCAAGATCCCAGGGCAATGCTTGTGGAAAATTCCATGATAAGACTTTCTAAACAGCAGTTTGATAACGTGTATCAAAATGTAAAATTTTCACACCTAGCAATGGCATTTTAAAAAATTTTATCCTAGAGGAATTACTGAATAGAGTGCAAAGATGATTCTGCAGTATTATTTATTACAGGTGGACACTATAAACCATCATGATCCACTAGCGTGGCATAGCACAAATTGTGGTCACTGCCACAGATGCTGCTTGTTTGCGGACCACACTTGGAGTTGGAAGACCCTAGAAGGTCCCTGTCCCACGTTCTCAGCTTTGTGACTCTGGATCTCTGCTCCCCACTCACCCTCTACCCGGGTCTTTGATGCGCCGCCCCACCCGGGCCAGGCCGCTGGCTCACCTAGTAAGCATAGGGCTGCGGTGGTTGGGGTTGGAGCAGAAGATGTTGTTGGACTTGCGTGTGCCATCCAGGAACTCGCACACCGACTGGCTGCGGAGCTCTGCCAGGGGCCGGGCCTCATGCTTGAGGAACCACTGATGCGCCTCAAAGCACCTGGCGCAGAGGAGCTGCTCACACTCGAAGCACCAGAAATCCGCTGTCTCGTTACAGCGGGTACACCGGGCCTGTGCATCCACGATCTGCCGGTACACCGACAGGCGCCGCTGCAGACTCTCAAAGAAGATGTTATCCAGGGCCGGCCCACTAGCGCGGAGGGACTGATCAGCCTGGCAGATAGGGCACTGCATGCCCGGGCCCTCCAGGCATCCTGAGCATAGTGTGTGTAGGCAATGCAATAGCTTAGGGTTCTTGGCTTCTTCCTGGCAGGACTGGCAGCGCAGGAACCGGAACTCCTCCTCCTCCACAGCTTGCTGGAGAAGCAGAGGGGAGGAGTGAGACCTAAAGTCCCAGGAGTCACCCGCCTCCCCTATGTCCAGTCACATGCTACTTCCCCTCTTCTTCCCACCCCTGCCCAACCAGACACCTGCCCCAATGGCTGGAGGCTGAAATGGAATTTCATATTCCATTCCCTGGCAGTCACTAGATCATGCAAAACCCAGGCTTATCAGTACCCCAATTTCCCACTTACTCAGGCCTTCCCACTCTAACTCCACTTCCCATCAGGCACAGTAAAAAGGTAAACATAGAACTATCTAACATATGATCCAGCAATTCCACTTCTAGATACCCCAAAGAACTGAAAACACTGACCCAAATGGATACTTTATATACCCACATTCATAGCAGCACACAATTCACAACAGCCAAAGGTGGAAACAACCCAAATGTCCATTATTGTTTGTGTATATTTTACCACAATTTTTAAAAATGCAAAAAAAGTGCATAATACAGTACATGGCAAATGAGAAGAGCTCATAAATACTAATTAGTAATGTTAATCAATATTATTTCTAGATGCAATTATGCAAGTAATACAACTTACTACAATTGGGCCTGAAAGAACATAGAGCAAAAGATCTAAGTAGTTCCTTTTGGGGGCGGGAAGCTGGGGGTTTGTCCAGAAGACTAAGGCAAAACTTCCTAATAAAGCCCCTTGGGAATAGGGGCTGAGCAGGCAGGGTGTTCCAGGAGACACATAGGGAAGGCTTCCTGGAGAAGAAACCACAGGGGCTGTGAGGCCTTAATAGTGATTCATCTCTTTTATCCCGGCCACAGTTTCCCATTCTGATCTGGTACTTGGACTTTGTTTTTTCCAACGTTCCTCCCAACCCCCCTCCCCAGTCAAGAGCCATGCTGAGGCAGGGGCAATAAGCCTACTGCCCTGGGGCCTTCGTTAGAGCAGGGGCAAAGAAGCAAGTTGCCCGCATGTGGGAGAGAGTCCGGTCCCACATGCCTCTCTAATCAGTGGAGAATAGCAGCCCAGAGGGGCTCCCCTAACTCACCCTGGTCCCTTTTCCTACTCTCCCCTACTCCTACTCTATCCAAGAGGGTCAGGACCCTAGGGTCTGGTCTTCCCTCTGCGTACCTGGTGGCCAAGTTCCCTCTCCCTTCTCGCATCTCCCTCCATCATAGCGAATTAACAAAGTCTAAACCCCGTCCCCCCAAACCAAATAGTACCTCCCTGGGGCTCTGGTCCGGGCTGGGCTGGTGGCTATCGGAGGACTCCGGGGGAGGCATGGTGGGCGCGTGCGGCAGTGCGGAGTCCTGCTGGGACACCAAAGATCTGCTGGGTACGGGTTCTTGCTGCATGAACCCCAACGCAGTTTCGATTCTCAGTTTTGATCTTGGAGGACAGGAAAAGCTGAACGAGAATCGTACGCCAGATGGCTGAGTTTCCGGAGCTGTCCGAAAGGGGAGGTGCCAGTTCTGGGCCAGTCTCGGGAGAGGAAGTGAGACAGGAGCTGGAGGCGGTTCTAGGGGCGGAGAGGCAGACAGTGGGTTTTGAAGACACTCCCAGCTGGGGTAATGGGAAAGTGGCAGAGCTGATGGGGAGGCAGCCCTGGCCCTGGGCTTTGAACCATTCATCAGCCCATAGTGGCACAACTTTGTGGCAGCTCCGAGCTGGGAGCCCCAGGCACAGAGATGAGCCACATATGGCTCTTGCTTTGTAAGAATCCCAGATCTAGTGGAAGGACAGTCCCCAAAATGGAGATTTTCACACAGTATTGAGACAGGCTAGAAAGGAGGTCTCTCAGTTTGGACTTGGAACAATGGAAATTCACCAGGGATTCAGAGATTGGGAAGACTGTTTAAACAGAGAGAACAGTATGTGCAAAGGCATGGAAGTATGAAACAGGACAACCTGTTTAGAAACTAGTTTTGGTTATTTTCTGATTTAACAGGGATCCATGAACAATGTTGGCCCAGGAGTGGAGTGGGGAAGATTATAGCTAAGGAGATGGGCCAGTTTTTTGGACAGTAGAGTTGGTTTGGAACCTAGAAAAATGTGATCCATTGTGCATGACAGGAAAGTCACTCTGACAACCTAGGGGTAGGTGGTGTGTTCTAGGACAGTGGCTGTGGGATACAAGGAGAGAACTGAGTCAGAGACACTAGGAGGACACTGAGCAGAGGAGGACAGGCTGATGCCTTGGGTGATAATTAGAAAGGTGGGTAAAGCTTAGGCAATGGGGGATAGGGAGGGTAAGGGAAGAGCTGGAGACCAGGTATGAAGAGTGAGGAGAGAGCAAGTTAGTTCTCCGTTGGCAGAGAAGCATGCTAGGCCCGCACTGGGTGAGGGGACAAAGTATAGCTCCAGGTGGCTTCACTGAGGCCATTCTAACCACTGTGCTGACCCTTGTGTACCTATTCTGTGCTCAGTTCAGGCTTAGAACAGACTAGAAGGGGTGGTGACAGGGCTCTGCTCTTATAAAGGCTTATACTCTGAAGGAATGAATGGAGGGGAAGTAGGAGACAACCAAACGCCCAGGGACTGTGCCAAGGCCTCAGGAACCTCCTCTGCCCTCCAGCCTGATCGGGATCCCTAGGGTTTTACAATCAGGCCATCAAACTAGGAAAAGCCAAAGATGATGAACAGCCATCTGCAGCAGGGACCTATAGGAATGAAGATCTCACCTCTGGATGGTCTGGAGGGGCTGCCCGTGACCGTTCTGTGCAAACCCCTCATTTATTACTCTACTGTGCTTCTGGAAGTCTGCACACGAAATTTTCTCTCCTTTTGTGCAAGAGTTCAGGCCTTCTGGCCCCACCTTAACCACAGTGACTTAGTCAACAAAAAAGTACTGAGATCACTCTGTGCCAGGCCCTTCTTGCTGGGCTGTGGGGACACAAAGTGGAATGATTTGCTGACCACGCCCTGGAGAAAATCGTAATTCTAGATAATAGGCTTCCCACTCCCAACTCCCCTTCCCGAAGGATACCCAAACCACCACTCCCCCCGTCGGTACTTGAGTTTGGAGAGGGAATGGTACCATTTCCGTGATTCTAAATAAGATTCGGCTACTGAAAAATCTCTTTCAAAGCCAACTTCCCCTCCTGATCTTTTTCTAAGGCCGAGGGGCAGCAAGCAGAAGGAGGCAAGGAAGGACTCTAGCCGACTTCCGGAAACGAAGACCACTCTCCCTCCCAGCCCTGCGGCCGCAGTTCGGCCCTCCCAGCACAGGCGGCGCTGTGACAAGGCGGGAGTTGGGCAGGCCAGCCTCCGCGTTCTGCTCCCAGAGCACCGCCGCTGGCCGTGCAGGAAAAACCGGAAGTGGTGGCCAGCTAGGGCGAGGTGGGGCGGGGCAGAGCAGAGGCCTGCTGGTCGGTCAGGGACAGTGTGGGGGCGTGCGATTGTGTCCCTTCAACCCCACAGTCAAGCACTATGGTCGGCAGGTCAGGTTACCGGGCGCTGCCCCTGGGGGACTTGGACCGTTTTCAGCAGTCAAGCTTTGGCTTCTTGGGCTTACCGAAAGACTACTTGTTCCTGGAGCCGGGCAGCGTGGGACCGGGGGCTGGTGAGTGGCCCCCCAGCCCCCGCATAGAGGATCTGGGAGGTTGGGGGGGGGGGGCGACCCGAACTCTCTTCTCCTGAGAAGTCAGCTCGTCTGGCATAGTCGCAACCTAAGAGGAGGGGGCGGGAGGGGACACGGTGTGGAGAGAGGCCTGTATAGCGCTGGGATGCTAGCCGATCGCCTTGGGGCTGCAGCCCCAGAGTTCTCATCTTCAAGGAGCCTCGCCCCACCTCATCCCTCCTCGGTTCTTACCAGCCCTTTAGGCCTGGGCAGAGGTTTCAAGTTCTCGTTTTGACCAAAAGAAACAAAGGTCTAGGAATAGAAGGTAATCAGCACGCTAAGGGCACTTGGCTGCAGAGAGTGTCAGGGGATCCTCAGTGCCCCCACCCTCATCTCTTAGATTCCCTGAGCTTGAGCACCTACCTCCCTGTTTACTGGTGGACATGTGCAGGCTAAAAAGGCTCTTGGCTGCCTCTGGTCTGCTCTGGCTCTGTCTTGCCCCAAAGGCTTGAGTCCCGCATTCCTCAGCCTGACAGCCAAATTCTGGAGGAGTGGGTCTCTCCTTGACCCTCCTGTAATGACAGCTGCCCTATCCAAGGGTTTCTTTTCTGAAGGGGCCCTGTGGATCAGAGCCAGGCAGGAAAGGAGAGTTAGGATCCTGGGACTCAGGGAACCTAGAGGGTATGGGGTTCCTGGGAAGATGGGGCAGAGGTTCCTACCTGCTTCCTGTCTAGGTTTGGGAGGGAAAGAGAATAACCTCATCCCAGATTCTGAGGTTGGCTCAGCTTTGCTCTCATCCTGGGCTCCTGGCTCTCCAGGGGCCATAACCTGTGGCTCAGATGAACCTCATCTTCCTAGTTAGTCTCCCTCACCACCTCCCATCTAAAGCTCTTCAAGTGAAGCATGCATTTGGCGGTCCTTAGGGCATTAAAGCAGGGTAAAGAATTGTGAGCTAGGAAAGAACATCTTAGTCCTCCCCTGTGGCTCCTATTGGTGAACTATTAATGCTTTATTTCTTTAGGCAAAGGATTCCTTGAAAGTACACTTCTGGGGCTGCTGGGAGAGGAGGGGTGTGTTATGCCTGCAGCTTTCAGTTTCACCCAGCCTGCATTTGCAGATTCCCAGGTGCTCCTGGCTCTGTGCCAAGTCTGGGAAGGCAATACATTGTAAATCAGATAAGATTGCTCCTGCTCAGCCCAATGAGAAGGGCATCACATGATTTGATTCTTTGATTCAGTGACCATTGTCCAACAGAATAGTCTTGGAAGGGTTGGATTTGGGACAGATTAGTTTTTTGTTTTTCAATCCTCACCTGAATATATGTTTATTGATTTTAGAGAGAGAGAGGAAGGGAGAGAGAGAGAAACATTGATGTGAGAGCAAAACATTGAAAAACATTGATGGGTTGCCTCCCACACATGCCCCGACCGGATATAGAACCTACGAGCTTTTGGTGTATGGGATGATGCTCCAACCACCTGAGCTGCGGCCAGGGCTGGACAGATTAGTTTTGTTGTGTGGGAGGAGAGAACAGTCCTTAACTAGCACCTGCCCAAAGATATGGGAATGTTAGGCGAGGAGGAGGATTGAGAGCCCGGAGAAGGAAAGGAGGTGGGCAGAAGGCATACTTGACCCCATTCACTCTGTCTGCATCTGCCTCTGTTCTCTCGTCCCAGATGCACCTCAGACCTGGCCCTCTTGCCTCTGCCACGGCCTCATTAGTTTCCTGGGGTTCTTGTTGTTGCTGATTACCTTCCCCATTTCTGGCTGGTTTTCCCTGAAGGTAAGGCTGACTGAGACAGCCCCAGAGTGGGTGGAACATACTGAGAGCTTTGGCACTGATGGATGAATTTTCCATTCTCTGCTCCCTTCCCTTAAATATGTTATCACGCTTCTGTGAAATGGGCTGGGTGAGGATAGTTCATGACCATCTTTCAGATGAGGAAATAGAGACTCAGATGTGTCCAAAGTCACATGGGAACCAAACTGCCAAGTGATGGGGCTCTGGAGAATCTTGTTCAGGTGCCTACAGATATTTTTGCCAGATCTTCCTACCTTTTAGCAGGGGTATCAAACTCATTTTCACCGGAGGCCACATCAGCCTTGAGGTTGCCTTCCAAGGGCCTAATGTAATTTTAGGACTGTATAAACGTAACTACTCCTTAACAGCTAAGCGAGAGCTTCATACTGCCACTGGGTAGAAACAAGGTGCCGGGTCAGCTAAAATAAGGTGGAGGGCCTGTGCTTTAGGTTAAGTTAAATTAGAAATGAAAAACACTCAGGTTGGCCAGCAGATAATGAATGAAAGGAAATCTGGCCTCGTTTTCACAGGGGGTGGTGCAGATGGGAGAAGGATAAGCCGCAGCTGAGAACCACACCTGAAAGCTGCAGTGTGCCAGCCCAGGCAGGCCTTGCCCTTTGTGTGGCCCTGGGCCACAGCTCTTCTAAAAAGCCTCTGGGTTTGGTGTGGTCTGGAAGGACATCCTTAGAAAGTCCTAAATCCTAGCCCTAAAACTGCCACTGAAATATGTGTGACCTTGGGCAAGTCACTTTGCTTCTCTGGGCCTTCATTTCTCAATTTGGATGTATTTGCTTCTTTGCAGACTCCAGGCACCCAAAGTTGGCAAAGCCTTTTGCTTGGGGTTATGGGTAGAGCAGCCCAGAATTCGCTCCTAACTAATTCAAGAGCAGATGGTTTCCTGGTTTGAGTCACATCTAGCTTCAGACCACAGACATGAGAAGTTTCTCTGAAGATCAAGCTAGTACAGTATGGTACTGTACTGAGAGCATTCAGAATTCCATTCAGATCTTGCCTATTTCACTTAGCGATGTATGATTTTTGAGCAAGTCACTTAACCCCTCAGAGCCTGGGTTTTCTTATCTGAAAACAGAGAGTTGAAGGATACCTGACACTGCCCAGGGAAAGGGGGAGGGGAAGGAGGGAGGGCCCTGGGCAGCCGTCATCACCAGCCTGGTCTCCCTGCCCTCAACTCTTCCTTTGCCATTGTGGACAGATTGTGCCCACCTATGAGCGGATGATTGTATTTCGACTGGGCCGGATCCGCACCCCTCAAGGGCCTGGCATGGTTCTGCTCCTGCCCTTCGTTGATTCCTTTCAGAGGGTGGATCTGAGGACACGAGCCTTCAGTGTCCCTCCTTGCAAGGTGAGGGGCTTCTTGGCTCACCTAAACCGGGGGTGGGGGGGGTTGTATACAGTGTATTCTGGGTGCCTTGGCCTATGAGTAGCTATCAGGGACAGGGGAAGGGAGATAGAGAGGAGACCAGAAAATTGAGGATGGAGGCTGGGAGCCCATCCTTGCTCCATATACCTGACCCCATGTACTTGGGGTCACCATTTTGTCCACAGGGTGCTAGTGACCAGGTGGGTGGATCAAGCTGAGTGGTCTCAGTGGCTTGACCTCCCTGCAGCTTCCGCTCCTTGAGTGTCTCCTCTTTCATGGCCTCCCCCAACAGTTGGCTTCTAAGGATGGGGCTGTGCTATCTGTAGGGGCTGATGTGCAGTTCCGCATCTGGGACCCAGTGTTGTCAGTGATGACTGTGAAGGACCTGAACACAGCCACACGGATGACGGCCCAGAATGCCATGACCAAGGCCCTGCTCAAGAGGCCTCTGCGGGAGATCCAGATGGAGAAGCTCAAGATCAGCGACCAGCTCCTGGTAGGCAGCTTTTCATGGGGCGGAGTCAGTGGCTGGCTCCTGGGCCTGGCTCTGCCTGCAGGATGCTTTGAACAAAGCAGCAGGTCACTTGGGCCTCAGTTTACCATATGCCTGAGGAATGTGACAACCTTTGAAGAGCCAGTGGTGTGGGTGGGACTATGAGTTGAGGAATGCTAGATGGGCACAGGCCATGGCAACCTGGGACAAAGGAGTACCTGAAAGCCAGGGGGCTCTGACAGGGGCATGGCTTGACAGGAATTCTGGGGGTCTGTCTCCGACTGCTGAGGTTTTGCCTTCACTGTTCTGTTGGCATTGCCATGACAACACAGGGCCCCAGGGTCCTTCAGTAGACTTGGGGCAGGCAGGTGGGTGAAAGGAGTGGGGCCTGCCTGGCCTACTCACCTTCTGGGGAGTTCTCTGCCCCTCAGTGTAGCGTGTGCTTTTTTGTGGCTTCGTGTTCCGGCTTCTCACAGAATAAAGGAACACAAGGACACTTGGAACTTGGTCCTGCTTCTCCATGTGTAAACAGTTATCTACACTGGAATTCACCTTAAACCCTATGACGAGTTGGGGTAGAAATGAGTACACAGGTGGTGGTAGTGTGTCCCGACCCCCTGTCCTAACAGGGAAACAGGTGAATTTGCCCCTCATTCCTCTCGGCTCTGCTTTCCCAGTGAACTGGGATTAGAGGAAAGGGGTGGGGAGTGGGGCATTGCCAGTCCTGGAGGTCGCAGTCCTTTCTGGAAGTATGTCAACCAACTCGGTGAAATTCCCGAGAAAACACTACTTGTCATAGCAGCAGTACCTTTCATGGGCAGATCATTTTATAGTTTATCAAGTCCTTTTGCCAGCTCCAGTGTGTCTCAGCTTTACATTTTGCTGCGAGAGGGCTGATATTGTATTATTTTGGAGGGAGGAAACTAAGCCTCAGAAATTATTTTGCATGCCTCTGAGAGCCATGGTCAAGGGCAGAGCTGGACCAGGGCCAGAACAACTGCTCCTCCACCTCCCAACCCAGTGCTAGATCATTTTAAAACATTTTTTAAAAATGTTTTTCAGTTACAGTTGATATTCAATATTATATTAGTTTCAGGTATACAGCATAGTGGTTAAGCATGTATATAACTTACAAAGTGATACCCCCAATAACACCATGTGTAGTTATTACAATACTATTGACTATATTCTCTGTGCTGTACTTTGTATGCTCATTGACTGTTTTGTAGCTGCCAATTTGTACTTACTAATCCCTTCGCCTTTTTCACCCAAACACTTAACCCTCTTCCCCCCAAACCCTTAACCCTCTTCCCATTTGGCAACCATCAGTCTGTTCTCTATATCTATGAGTCTATTTCTGATTTGTTCATTTATTTCATTTTTCAGATTCCAGATATAAGTGAAATCATATGATATTTGTCTTTCATTGTCTGACTTATTTACCTGAGCATAACACCCTCTAGTTCCATTCATGTTGTCGCAAATGGGAAGATACCATTCTTTTTTTTTTAATTAAAAGTTATTCTTTTTCTTCCACTTTTTTATATTTTATTGATTATGCTATTATAGTTGTCCCATTTTCCCCCTTTACTCCCCTCCACCCTGTGCACCCTCTCCCACCCATATCCCCCCCTTAGTCATGTCCATGTGTCATACTTGTAAGTTCCTTAGCTTCTACATTTCCCATACTATTCTTACCCTCCCCCTATCTATTTTCAACCTACATTCTATGCTACTTATTCTCTGTACCTTTTCCCCTCTCTCCTCCTCCCACTCCCCTGTTGCTAACCCTCCATGCAATCTCTATTTCTGTGGTTCTGTTCCTGTTCTAGTTGTTTGCTTAGTTTCTTTTGGTTTTGCTTTAGGTGTGGTTGTTAATAATTGTGAGTTTGCTGTCCTTTTACTATACATGTTTTTTCTTTATCTTCTTTTCTTAGATAAGTCCCTTTAACATTTCATAAAATAAGGGCTTGGTGATGATGAACTCCTTTAACTTGACCTTATCTGAGAAGCATTTTATCTGCCCTTCCATTCTAAATGAGAGCTTTGCTGGATAGAGCAATCTGGGATATAGGTCCTTGTCTTTCATGACTTGGAATATTTCTTTCCAGCCCCTTCTTGCCTGTAAGGTCTCTTTTGAGAAATCAGCTGACAGTCTGATGGGAACTCCTTTGTAGGTGACTGTCCCCTTATCTCTTGCTGCTTCTAGGATTCTCTCCTTCATTTTTACCTTGGCTAATGTAATTATGATGTGTCTTGGTGTGTTTCTTCTTGGGTCCAACTTCTTTGGGGCTCTCTGAGCTTCCTGGATTTCTTGGAAGACTATTTCCTTTGCCGGAATGGGGAAGTTCCCCTTTATTATTTGTTCAAATACATGCTCAATCTGTTGCTTTTCCTCTTCCCCTTCTGGTACCCCTATAATTCAGATGTTGGAACGTTTAAAGATGTCCTGGAGGTTCCTAAGCTTCTCCTCGTTTTTTTGAATTCTTATTTCTTCATGCTTTCCTGCTTGGTTGTTTCTTTCTTCCTTCTGGTCCACTCTATTGTTTTGAGACCCAGTTTCCTTCCCTTCACTATTGGCTCTCCATGCATCTTCCTTCATTTCTTTTATGGTAACCTGCATTTTTTTTCATCTAATTTGCACCCAAAATCAACCAATTCCGTGAGCTTTCTGATCACCAGTGTTTTGAACTGTGCATCTGATAGATTGGCTATTTCTTGGTCGCTCAAAAGGATGAGTCCTGGGGGACTGATCTGTTCTTCTGTTGGAGACATGTCTCTCCCTGTCTGTCCTTTTTTTTTTTTTTTTTTTTTCCAGGTCTGGTTGCTCTTGTTACAGTGAGGGGCGGAGCCTTAGGTGTTCACCGGGGCCGGGCACCCCAGTCGCTAGATTGTGACATTATATGTGGGGGCGGGAGTGGGGGCGGGAGGGAACAATGGCGGTAGTTCTGTCCTCCTGAGATCTCAGTCCCTTCTCTGGGATCCTGGGTTGCGAGCTCTGCCCTGGTCCACAATCACCGCCTCACTGGGTCCACCAGCCGCAGCTTGCGTACTCAGGGTCTACCTGCTGCAATCTTGCTCGCCCCGGATGGCTTATGCGCCAAGTTCTCCCCGACCTCCGGGCGCCACCGACCCGCGGGCGCCGACCCGTGGGTGCCTGGCTCCTCCTCTCTGCCCCTCCTGCCAGTCTGGATGTACGGGTCTACTTCAACTTCTTGGCTGTCCGACTTCCATTCAGATAAATTCTCTATTAGTTCTGGGTGTTATTCTGGCTCTAAATTGTTGTTGTTCTAATCTTGGTTGTGCGTGGAGGTATGGTGCGTCCACCTATGCCTCCATCTTGCCGGAAGTCCCTGGGAAGATACCATTCTTTTTTATGGCTGAGTCACATCCCGTTGTATCTGTGTAGCGCTTTTTCATGATCTGCTTGTCTATTGATGGACACTTAGGTTGCTTCCATGTTGTGGCTATTATTGTAAATAAAGCAGCAGTGAACATAGGGGTGTATATAACATTTCAAATTAATGTTTTTGATTTCTTTGGATTAACATCCAGAAGTAGGATTGCTGGTTTATAGGGTAGTTCTATTTTTGCGGGGGAAACCTACATACTGTTTTCCATAGTGGCTGTGTTAGGTAGGAACAAATGTCTCAAGGTCTGGGTAGTTCTTCCTAAATGCTATTCTTGATAAGTGTCAAAATGTAGCACAGTATTTTATAGAAGGAGCTATAAATACGATGAGCTTGGCAGGAACCCAGCCTGATTAAGTGTAGCCAGCTGCAAAGAAGAATCAACATGTAATTAATCAAATAGTGAATATAAGCAATGGCTAAGCCTCCCTTCAGGGAGACAGAGCTTTGGATGTGAATTCCCTGTCTCCTTGACTGGCTCCAAGTAAATAAAAGTACCTGAAGACGATGTTAATCAGCACTCCCCAGGTGGGGAACTCCTTGAGTTAGGTGACAGCTCACCAGTCTGCATTCCCACCAACAGCACACAGGGTTCCTCTTTCTCCACAACTTTGCTAACACTTTTTGTTTTATTTACCTATGATGGCCATTCTGACAGGTGCAAGGTGATATTTCATTGTGGTTTTAATTTGTATTTCTCTGATGAGTATTGACTTTGCGCTCCTTTTCATACGTCCATTAACCATCTGCATGTCCTCTTGGGAAAAATGTCTAGTCAGGTCCTCTGCCCGTTTTTTAATTGAATTACTGTGTGTGTGTGTGTGTGTGTGTGTGTGTGTGTGTGTGTGTTGTATAAGTTCTTATATATTTTGGATATTAATCCCTTATCAGATTTGTCATTGGCAAATATGTTCTCCCATTCAGTAGATTGTCTTTTCATTTTGTTGATATTTCTTCACTGTGTGAAAACTTTGTAGTTTGTTGTAGCCCCATTTGTTTACTTTTCTTTTGTTTACCTTGCCCAAGAACACATATCCAAAACAGTATTACTTACAGTGATATCCAAGAATTACTGCCTGTGTTTTCTTCTAAGAGTTTTATGGTCTTGGGTCTTACATGGAAGTCTTTAATCCATTTTGAATTTATTCTTGGACATGATGAAGAAGTGATCTAGTTTCATTTTTTTTGCACATATCTGTCCAGTTTTCCCTACACCGTTTATTGAGTAGACTGTCTTTACCCCACTGTATGTTCTTGCTTCCTTTGTCAAATATTAATTGACCATAAAGTTGGGTTTATTTCTAGGCTCTCTGTTCTGTTCTGTGCTTTATATGTCTGTTTTTATGCCAGTACCGTGCTGCTTTGATTGCAATACCCTTACAGTGCAGTTCGATATCGGGTGGCGTGATAACCTCCACCTTTGTTCTTTCTCAGGATTGCCTTGGCTATTGGGCGTCTTTTGTGGTTCCAGACAAATTTTAGGATTTTTTGTTTAATTCTGTGAAAAATGCTTTCAGTATTTTGATAGAAATTGCACTAAACTCTACATTATTTTGGGCCATGTGGACATTTTAATGGTGTTAATTTTTCCTACCCATGAGTGGGTATATGCTTCCATTTATTTATATCTTCTTCAACTTCTTTCTTTAGTGCCTTACAGTATTCCAGGTACAGGTCTTTAAAGTCCTTGTTTAAATCTATTTCTAGGTATTTTATTCTTTCTGATCCAATTGTAAATAGGGTTTTCTTAATTTCTCTTTCTGAGAGTTTTTTTTTTTTTGTGGTACCTTAAGATTCTATCTGTATAGCATCATGTAATATGCAAATAATGATTTGCATACTCTTTTACTTCTTTCTTTCCAATTTGGATGCCTTTTATTTCTTTTCTTTGATTGATTATTTTGTTGACTTCCAATACCATATTGAGTAAAAAGTGGTGATAGTCTTGTTCCTGGTCTTAAAGAGAATGCTGTTAGCTTTTTCCCACTGAGTAGGATGATAGCTATGGGTTTGTCTTATATGGCCTTTATTATGTTGAGGTGTGTTCCCTCTATTCCCATTTTGCTGAGAGTTTTTGTCATAACTGGATGTTGGATTTTGTGAAATGTTTTTTCTGAATTTATTGATGTGATCATATGATCTTTATCCTTTATTTTGTTTATGTGGTGTATCATGTTTATAGATTTGCAGTTATTGAACCAGCCTTGCTTCCTAGGAATAAATCTAACTTGATCACGATATATGATCTTTTTAATGCATTGCTGAATTCAGTTTGCTAATATTTTGTTGAAGATTTTCTTTTTGATTTTTACCAGGGATATTAGTCTGTAGCTTTCATTTTTACTGTCTTTGGTTTGGTATCAGGGTAATGCTGGCCTCATAAAATGAGTCTGGGAGCCTTCATTCTTCTTCAGTTTTTTGGAATAGTTTGAGAAGGGGAGCTGTTAATTCTTCTTTGAATGTTTCATAAAATTTACCTATAAAGCCATCCAGTCCAGGACTTTTGATTGTTGAGAGGTATTTTTTTGTTTGTTCGTTTTTAATCTTTTTTATTTTAATTGTTGTTGCAGTACAATTTTCTATCTTTTACTCCCATCCCAACCCACCCACCCAGCCCTCCCCTTCTCCCTCCCATTTCCACCCGCCTCTAGTTTTTGTCCATGTGTCCTTTATACTTGTTCCTGTAAATCCTTCCCCTTTTCCCCTGAAATTTCCCTGAAATTCTCTTTCCTCTCCCCTCTGAACACTGTCAGCCTGTCCTCTATTTCAGTGTCTTAGGTTATATTTTGCTTGTTTCTTTGTTTTGTTGTTTAGGTTCCTGTTAAAGGTGAGATCATATGGTATTTGTCTTCAACCACCCGGCTTATTTTGCTTAGCATAATGCTTTCCAGTTGCATCCATGCTGATTGTTGAGAGTTTTTGATTACTGATTTGATTTTGTTAGTAGTTATTGGTCTGTTCACATTTTCTGTTTATTCTTGAGTCAGCCTTGGAAGATTTTATGTTTCTAGGAATTTATCCACTTTTTTTCCTAAGTTGTCCAATTTGTTGGCATATAGTTGTTTATAATATTTTCTTATAATCCTTTGTATTTCTGTGATGTCAGTTGTCACTTCTTTCATTTCTAGTTTTATTTATTTGGTCCGCTCAGTTTCTTTCTTGATGAATCTGGTTAAAGGTTTATCAACTTCATTTAACTTTTTCTAGTTTCTTTAGATGGAAGGTTAGATTGTTTATTTGAGATTTTTCTTGTTTCTTTAGGTAACCTGTTATGCTATGAATTTCCCTCTTAGAAATGCATTGGCTGTGTCCCATATATTTGGAGTTGTTGTGCTTTCATTTTTGTCTCAATATATTTTTTGATTTCTTCCTTGATCTCATTGTTTACCTACTCATTGTATAGTAACATGTTATTTGGTTCTATGTGTTTGTGTGTTTTTCAGTTTTCTTCTTTTAATTCATTTCTGGTTTCATACCATTGTGTTTGGAGAAGATGGTTGATATGATTTAAGTCTTATTAAGTTTATTGAGACTTGTTTTGTGACCCGGCATATGGTCTATCTTGGAAAGTGTTCCATGTGCTCTTGAAAAAATGTATATTTTGCTGCTTTAAGGTGAAATGTTCTTAAAAGTATCTATTAGGTCCTCACAGGTTCGATTCCCAGTCAGGGCACATGCCTGGGTTGTCCACCAGGTCTCCAGTAGGGGGTGCTTGGGAGGCCACCACATATTGATGTTTCTCTCCCTCTCTTTCTTCCTTGCTTCCCCTCTGTCTAAAAATAAATAAAATCTTTTTTTTTTTTTAAATTGTTAAGTCCATTTGGTCTAATGTATCATAGAAGGCTGCTGTTTCCTTGTTGATTTTCTGTCTGGATGATCTGTTTGTTGATATCAAAGGGGTGTTAAAGTCCCCTACTATGACTGTACTACTGTCGATCTCTCTCTTTATGTCTGTCAGTATTTGCTTTCTATATTTAGGTGCTCCCACTATATCCTCTTATGATCTCTTCATCATTTTGAAATGTCTTTCCTTGTCTCTTGTTATAGCCTTTGTTTTAAAGTCTATTTTGTTGGATGTAAATATAGCTACCCCAGCTTTTTTTTATTACCACTTGCATGAAATACCTGTTTCCATTCCTTTACTTTCAGTCTGTATGTGTCTTTATTTTTTAAAGGGATGATATTTTTTAAAGGGATGATATTTCTCTATTTCTCTATGTCTAATTAAATCTGTCCTGAATCTCAACTTTTTTTTTTAATTTGTCTTTATTGTTTAGTCCATTTGTGTCTTTCGTTATGAAGTGGGTGCCTTGTAGGCAGAGACATGTGTGGGTCTTGTTTTCTTACCCATTCAGACAACCTGTGTCTTTTGATTGGATAATTTAATCAGTGTACATTTAAAGTGATTATTGATAGGTATGTAGTTATTACCAGTTTATTATTTGGGTTTTTAATTTCTTTTTTCTTCTTCTTAAAGAAATCCCTTTAATGTTTCTTTTAATAATACTGGTTTGGTGATGATAAACTCTTTTGGCTTTTTCTTGTCTTGGAAACTCTCTTCCCTTCAATTCTAAATTATAATCTTGCTGGGTAGAATAATCTTGGCTATAGGTACTTGCTTTTCATCACTTTGAATATTTCTTGCCAATTCCTTCTTTCTTACAAAGGTTTTATTGAGAAATCAGCTGACAGTCTTATGGGACTCCCATGTAGAAGCTTTTCTCTTTCTGCTTTTAGGATTCTCTCTGTATCTTTAACCCTTGGCATTTTAATTAAATTTGTCTTGATGTGGGCCTCTTTGGGTTCATCTTGTTTGGGACTCTCTGCATTTCCTGGATTTGTATGTCTTTTTCCTCTGCCAGGTTAGGGAAATTTTCTATGATTATTTCTTCAAAAAGATTTTCAGTTTCTTGCTTTTTCTCTGCTCCTTCTGGTACCCCTACAATGCAAATGTTTTTATGCTTGATGTTGTCCCAGATGGCCCTTAAACAATCCTTAGTTTTTGAAATTCTTTTTGCTGTTCCATTTGGATGTTTTTCACTACCTTGTGTTCCAAATCGCTGATTCCATCCTCTGTGTAATCTGCTATGGATTCCATCTAATGTGTTCTTCATTTCAGTTGTATTCTTCATTCCTGACTGGTTCTGTTTTATGGTTTCTATCTTTTTGTGTAAGTTCTCACTTAGTCTGTTTTTCTCCTAAGTTCATTTTCAGTGCTCAGTCTTATACAGCCCAGATAATAAGTTGATAACAATTTTTATTTATAGAACCTCATTACATTTTAATTTACGTTTAGGAAAAGAAAATTGATCTTGGCCTGTTCCACTTGGCTTTGGTGCACAGGCCAAGAGAGGCAGTTTGGGAGGAGTCAGTCTCACACCAGGATGTTGGAGTCATTTAGGGCCCGGGCCCGGGCCCAGGCCCAGACTGAGTTGGCTGCTGGTAAAGTGGAGTCAGTGTCTCTGGTTAAAATGAAATCTCGGGAAAGCCTGCACATCTCCTTAAGTCCTAGTTCTGGCATACACTTTTCTCTCTTATTTCCCTTTTGCCTACGTTTTATCTGGAGGGACTGAATACTCCCTGCCTTGCTGGACTCTCCTTAGCTGCTCCAGGCCAGCTGCTTCACCCCGCACTCTCCTGGTTCAGCCTTCCCATCCTCACGCATCACTCCGTGCAGCAGGCCTGGCCTCCTAAAGCTCAGGTGAGGAAAACTCTAGGATAAGAACTCTTTCAGCTTCCTCCAGCATCACCCCTACGGACTCATCAGCATCTGTGCTATTTTTTCTGCCTCGTTGGAAACATCTGCTTCCTCTGTTCAGGGCTGCACTGTCCCTGCAGCAGCAGCGCTCTGGGCCCAGGACCCGGCTCCCCGTATCCTTTCATTACCCTTTCATCCTCTCTTCCTCTTGCCCTCATACCTCTCTCCTCTTTCCTTCTTTTCTTCCTGTCCTTAGTCTGGGCTTCTTCCGGGCTCCTAAGACGGACATCACGTCTTAGGAGCCCGTCTTGGGAATGGTGAACTTCCTCTCGCTAATGCAGAGGGCACTTTTCAGTCCTTCCCCTTCTTCACCTGCTGGCAGCCTTTGACTCTGGACACCCATCCTTCTCGAACTCTAGATGGATTGTCTGCTTTTCTGGGCTTCTGTTACTCCACACCCCAGCTTTCCTCCTTCCTTCTGGTTACCATTGTTAATCCTTATTGCCCTGCTCTTCAGAGTCCAGGTTTCTGTTAACGGCCTGTTTTCATCTGTGACCTCCTGGGTAGACCTCATTTACCCGGGGCTTTTGCTGCCTCTGGACAGTAATTATTTATGCCACTCTCCTCCAGTGCCACTCTCTCCTGCACCCTGGACCCATTTATCCAACTGCCTAGTGGACAGTTGGCTGTGCCGTGCACACCTCAAGCTTAACGTATTAAAAAAATGATCATCCCTCCTCTACACATCCCCAGCTCTGCGTCACCCACTGTGTGTCCTCCTAGGCAGGCATCCACACTTATGAGCCACACCAGAAACCTGAGTTCTCTGATTTGTCGTCACACACCTGGGCAGCCAGCTAGCCCACTGGTTCTCTTTCTCCAGTGTCTTTCTGTAGCTTCATGTAGCTTACAGAATTGTGCCCTCCCTTGGTGTATCTTTTCTCCATGGCTGCCTGTCTGCCTGACGCCAGATTCGCATCACTTCTGTGGGCACTTTGAAACAATATCTTACTTGGTCTCTGCCTCCACCCTCAGCCTCTCCAACCCAGTGTCCACACAGCAACAAGAGAATCTTTCCAACAAGCAAGTCTGTTCTCTCAGCTCCCTGCTAAACTCCTTCTGGGGGTACTTGTACCTCAAAATAAATCCAGGTGAGCAGGAGCAGCCACCTCAGACCCCTCAGCTGTCTTCAGTCTCCCAGCCCACACTTGAGTGTCTAACTGAAGGAGCTATGGTTACTCACAGTTCCAGAATATTCCAGGTTCTCCTGTCTGGATTTGTGTGCGTGCTGTTCCCATTGCCTGGGAGGGCCCTCCTTTCCCTGATGCCCCTTTGCCTGGATAACTCACTGCCCCATGTCTTTCCTGGTAAAGTGAGCCCTTTACCTGGATAAAGCAAGCCCTGGGTGCTTACTGCCAACCGCCCACAGCTGGGTTGTGATTGTCTCGTGCCTGTGTACCCAGGAGAAAACTTTTCAAGGGGGGTATGGTGCCCCATGTGCCACCATGTCCATGTGTGGTTAGCCTAGCCTGCCCAAAGAAGCCGCTCTGGGAAGGTGTGCTCAGTGAGTTCCATTTCTCCCCACACTGTCCTCCAGCTGGAGATCAACGATGTGACCAGGGCCTGGGGGCTCGAGGTGGACCGCGTGGAGCTGGCAGTGGAGGCCGTGCTGCAGCTGCCCCAGGACAGCCCCCTCCAGCAGCTAGCTCCCCACCTTCTGGAGGTGGGCATGTCCTCAGTGGCAGGATGTGCCCTGCCCCTGGGGCAAGGTGAGGAGCCTCCAGAAAAGGGTGGGGACTCAGCAGAGCACTCAGCTTGGTGTCCAGCACAGGCCGAGCTTTGTTACTTGCTCCCTTAACCAAGTGCCTTTGTGTAGTCCATACTCTGTCTGTCTGTCAGGCTACTGTGAATCTAGTGCTGTCCAGAGCTCAGGCGGCGGGAAGAGCCCAGCTGTTTGTGAGTGCATGCAAGCCTTTGGTAGCCTGCATAGCAGGAAGCAACAATATCCAGAAAAGAGATTTCCATTTAAGACTGGAGTCCCTTAGAGATGGGGTTTGGGAGTTAAGGCAGAAAACTCAAGGGCAGCTTCTTAGCAAAGAAGAAAGTTGAATCAGGACCTAAAGGGGATATAAGAGGGAACTGCTGCGAACCAGTGATCCTGATCTTAGCAGCCAGCTGATCTTCCCTCTCCACCTCCCTCCTCAACCCTTTGGGCTCCTCTACCACAGACACCTTGAAGATCGTGAGTGAAGTTGAGCTGCCTGCCCCTCACACCGGTGCTGGGCCCAGCTTGAAGCAGCCTGTGGCTGAGGGGCTGCTGACTACTCTGCAGCCCTACCTGTCTGAGACCCTGGTCAGTCAAGTCGGGGCCTGCTACCAGTTCAATGTCATCCTGCCCAGTGGCACCCAGAGCGTCTACTTCCTGGACCTCACTACAGGTGCAGCAGCCCTCCCTGCCCTCTCTTTCCCACCCAGGTTGCTTGTAGCCCCCACCCTCTCCCCTGGGTCCTTTTTTAGACTACTCCTGCCTCCGATAGCAGTTTAGGGTGAAGCCACAGCGGTCAGGGGCGTAGACACTGTGTGCAGACACTGATTGTCCTGGCTTTTGCCTCCCCACCCTGTCCGCACCAGCAGGACAACTCAGATAGCTGAGCCTCCTGTACCAACAGCCCTGCGCACGCTGCAGGCCTGCTGTGTCCCAGGCTCTGTGCTGAGTACTTTTTGTGCATTATCTCTCCTACTTCTCATCATGAGCCTATGATTTAGGGACTATCATCATCATCCCCATTTCACCAGTTTGGAAACTGAGACTCAGCAATTACTCAGCCAGTAGGTCTTGAACCCAGGTACTAGACCCTGAATGCTTCATCACTATTCTCTGCTCCTCCCAGTGGGATGTGCTGACCACCCCCCACCCCTGCCCAACATAGCTGTCTCTCTCCTCACATTTGGTTTTCTTCTCCCCACAGGGCAAGGGAGAGTGGGACGTGGAGTGCCTGATGGCATCCCTGACGTGGAGGTGGAGGTGGCTGAGGCAGACCTACGGGCCCTGTTGTGCAGGGAGCTGCGGCCCCTGGGGGCCTACATGAGTGGGCGGCTAAAGGTGAAGGGTGACCTGGCAGTGGCCATGAAACTGGAGGCTGTCCTCAGAACCCTGAAGTAGCAGCCTTGGCTGACCATCCGTAGCCCAGCCCAAGCCTGGCACCAAGCCAGGGGCATCTTGGAGGAAGAGGCATTGGCGCCGCACCTCAGATTACTGAGTCCCCGAGAAGTTTCAGGCCCAGCCAGGAGCCAGTGAATGGAGGTTGAGTTGGGCTGCTCTGCCCTTCCCAGTCCCCGCCAAGGACCCAGCCCTGAACTGGGCACACAGCACAGTAACAGGAGCACCCGGCCTGCTCTGCCCTCCTGCCTGTCTGATCAGAGGGGCAGGGCCCACAGAAACAGCCGGATAGCAGCTGGTTTGGTCCCACTGTGAGGCGGCAAAGTATGTGGCTCAGGCTCCCAGATCTAGAGTGTGGTTGGGGCGGGGGGAGATGGAGAGGAAAGTGACCACTGAGAAGAGGTCACTGCAGCCAGAGGGACCTGGGAATCATACGGGGCCCACTGTCCAGACTGCAGTCCAGGCCCACAGGTCGGGATGGGTAGAGTGGAGTCTGTTCCTCCCTGGGCCCCAAACACCTCTTGACTTGCCTGACAGCTCACTCTTACACACCTGCTGGGCCAGGCCGGGGCCTAGGGCAGCATGAAGGGGGCCCTGCCCTTCCTGTGCAGCCTACCACAGGTTTGAAAACTCGAGTTGGGGAGCAGTAGGGTGTGGTGTTGGGGGAATCCCCAGGCTGTTCCCCTGGTGTCCGTGGCCAGGGACTAGGGCCCTACAGGCTGACACAAACCCTCACGATGCTCTTGAATCCCGCGGATCCTCTGTGCCGAGGGTCTCAGATCCTCTGAGGCAGGAGCCAGCACTCTGTTCCTCTGGATAGAGGTGTGCCAGGAAAGGGGGGGTGTTGGGGTCTGAGGCATGGTGGAGTCACCCCATTTAGGAGAGCTGTCGGGGCTGGTCTGTGTCTCCCCTTCTGTCACGCCTCGTCTCACCTTCTCCACTGGATAAAGGGAAGGAAACAAGAAAACCTGCACAGAGTTCCAGCCTGGAGACCTGGCCAGGCTTGCCGCTTCACTGATCCAGCCCAGACCCCAGGCAGCCTGGGGGAGGGGCCTTTCGCTTCTCCGGTCCTCATCTGAATCTCACTTCCTGAAGAGGCCTGTGAAAAAGCCCCACAGAAACCTGAGCGCTCCCTTGAGAAACAGCTTCCCGCACCAGGCCTTCCTGTGAAAGCTTAAAAGAAACCGAAACTCCTCAGAGTCTCTGGGCAGGGAAGGACCAGGGGAAACTGAAAGTTCCCGGAATCGTCTGTGGTGGAGAGCGAGCCCTGCCGCCAGCCATTGATGCCCTCGGTGGGGCTCTGCCGCTCAGGCAGGGCCGGCACTCCAGCAAACGGAGCCCATGGGCTCAAGGGCCCTTGGGCTTCAAAGGGCTGAGTGGAACTTAACAGTCACTATGGAAGGATAAGGGATACCTACCTAGCAGGGTGAGGGTGTCAATCAAAGAAGGCTTCCTGAGAGGGTGGTGCCTGAGATTTGGAGCTGCGTGGGCAGGTGCCAGCAAGGAGAAAAGGAAAGAAATAGGGAAGCCCTGGCCAGGTAGCCCAGTAGGTTAGCGCATCCTCCCCATAAACCAAGGCTGTGGGTTTGGTCCCACGGTAGGGCACATACAGGAATCAACCAGTGAATGCATATGTAAGTGGAACACCAAATTGTTTCCCCCCTTCCTCTCTCTCAAACTGTCAATAAAATTTAAAAAAGGAAATGTGGGAAAAACATTGGACAGAAGGGAAAACCCTTCTGAGGACACAGAAGGAACTGGGCACTGCAGTACGGAGCAGGGGAACCCCGACTGTGAGGAGGGTGAAGGAGTGACGGTGTGCCAGGAGCGCCCCTGCGGTGGGCGAGACGCTGCCCCTGCCTACCCGGCACTCCACGGGGTCCAGCAGAAGTGGGGCCTGCTCGAGTGTGCTTGTAGGGTGATAATATGGGTGTACGAATTTAGTTTTCATTTGGGCATTTCACCTAAAATGTCATTTGTTGTGCTTGAGTGTGATACTGTTATGTTACAGAATTATATGCTCATGATTTTGTAATAAAAAGGGCATTATTTGTGCCAGACCCTGTAGTTATGCTGTTTATATATTAATATCTAATATGTCTCATGTTAAATTTTGAATAGCTTGTATAATCACTTGGTTTATCCTGTGTGTTTTTTGTTTTTACACAAATTGCAACATAGCAAACACATGTTGTTTTGTTCACTTAACATTAAACCTTGAGGGTTTTTTTTTTTCATATTAGCACACGAAGACTTTCCCCATTTGGTTTTGTTAATTACGTATGATTCCATTGTTTGGATGTATCACAATTTATTTCACCTGTCTTGCACTTAGATTATGTCTTGAGTTTTGCTATTTCAAGCAATGTTGCACTCATAACCTTTAAATATGCCAATTAAACTGTGCTTGAGTTTGAAGGATAAACTCTTAGAAGGGAAATTGCTAGCTCAAAGCATTTGTAATTTGAATCAAGTAAAAGGCCTTCATTCTGCAGTTATAAAAGAATTCCATGTATTCTTATAATTTCATATTTTTACATGTAAATTTTTGACCCATTTGGAATATAAATGAAAGTGACTGGAGAAAGAAGGGAGGAACTAGGAGGAGATAAAGTATGCGCCCACTTCCACACGAAGCCTAGTCGTGGGGTGTGTTGTGTGCCAAAGTGAAACCACGGAAGTGCTGACGATGGAAATCTCAGTCACTGGGTCACTCACGCAGGTCTCCCTGGTTAGCCTCCCAGCGGGGCCTTTAAACCAAAAGCCATGAACTGAGTGATCAGGAGGTGGTGCTTCTGGAAGCTGTCTGTGTATTGGAGGCTGGGAGAACATTTCTGTCTCCCTCTGGTAAACGTTTCTTGATTCCTATCCTAAGCCAAGTGGAGCCCAGCTCACCAGCCAGGGCAATGAGTCTTTAAATGAGGCCAGTGAAAGGAGAAGCTGGGAGCAGGATTTGAGCCTGCAAAGCCAAGGCTGGGTGGGAGGCAGTCCTGGAGAACCTCAGGATCTCCAGCTGGAAGGGAGCAAGTGGTTGACCCACACAGCTCATTTCACAGATGGGAAGACAGAGGCCCACCAGGCCCTGAGACAACCTGTCCAGAGGGGTTTGGGGTGGATCGGGGCCCAGAACCTATGTTCACTACATCAGTATGGATCATGAGGTGGTGGGACTGGCTTAAAGAGGTTCTCAAGATCCTGGGGCTCCCTGGTAGGGTAGCTCAGTTGGTTAGAGCAACATCCCAATATGCCAAGGTTGTGGGTTCAATCCCCTGCCACAGCACATATAAGAATCAACCAATGAATGCATAAATAAGTAGAACAGCACATCTCTCTCTAAAAAATCAAATTAAAAAATAAAAAAGATCCTAGTGCCTCCTGTTGCTCTGCCAAGTTTGACTCTACTGTATGGGGTTGGGCAAGAGGATAGAGTCCCCACTTCTAGTGCTGTAGCTTCTCTGTCACTCAGCCAGGAGGGGACAGGGAGAGGGCTGAGAACGAAAGGGCCTGCCTTATCACAGGCCTCAGCCCTGGACTGGGGTCCCAACCTGCTCTCCAGAGCCTGGCAGTGTCTGCCATAGCATAGGCACCAGCAACTGGTTATTGAAAGTAACTTGCTGAATGCGGGGGTATATTGGGTTTGTTGAAGAAGATGGAAGTAGAGAGAGACAGACTGGGGGAGAGAGATGGGGATAGGGAGAAAAAGAGAAAGAGGGAGACTGGAAGGCGAACAGGAGAGACACAAGGAGACAGGGATGGAGAGGGAGTAGGAGGCGAATCCTTGTGTCCACCAGGGTGGTGCAAACAGAGCCATGTGGGTCGCCCTGGAGGGGCTGGAGGGGCTAGAGGTACCTGAGGGGGAGATGCTTGGGGAGGGGTTCTGTGGCTCTTGGCTTCCTGGTCCCAGTCTTGTCTCCCTAAAGGGAACCCATAGAAGCCTACTTACGAGCTTGTGGCACCACCTTGTGGCAATTTTGGGGATAGCTGGTTTTCTCATTCCAGATTTATCTTGCAAGATCTGGAAGGATCTCTGGGACAGTGGAGAGAAAATGAAGACAGGAAAGGGGCCTTAGCCCCAGGCCTCTGAAATGTTAGCTTGGCTGACCATTCCTGTATATATTCTCATTCTCTCTCTCTCTCTCTCTCTCTCTCTCTCTCTCTCTCACACACACACACACACACACACACACCCCTGTGTTCAAGTTCAAGGCTGAACTTGGCAGTGATGCAGGGTAGGGAGAGAGTGAGGGAGTGGAATGGTGGGAGGGTTTAGCCAGAAGGAATTGGGGAAGGTTGACTAGTGTGACCTGGAAAGTGCAGCTCATGGAATTAAATCTGTAAAATGGGGCTAAGTATATCAAAGGCCAATACTCCAAGAATATTTCCAGGAATGAAGAGAGAAAATGCATAATGATAAAGAAGTCAAGTTCATCAAGAAGAAAAACAACCTCGATGTGTGTGCACTGGGGCATACCCTCAGGAACACAAACACGGTTGCAGCTGGTAGAACTGAAGGGTGAAGCACAGATGTACTTCTCTCTCAGTATGTGCCAGAGTGCGTGGGTGCGCAGAGCATCAGTCTGGACGTGGATAGCTGGAGCAGCAGCATGAACCAACCGGACGGGACCGACACTGCGGGGCACGATGCCCACCAACAGCAATGTATACATTGTTTTCAAGGTCTATGGAACAGCCATAATGCAAATCTCAAAAAATTAAAAAATAATTACAATCATGTAAATATGTTCTCCCATCATAATGAAGTTAAATTAGAAATCAGTAACTGAAAGGTATCTGGAAAATCCCCAAATATTTGGAAATTAAACAGCACACTTTAACTCATGATTGAAGGAAGACACCATGAGAATAACTAGAAATATTTTTAATTAAATGGAAATGCAAACACAGCATGTAATTCGCAGGGCACAGTTTAAAGCAGCGCTTGGAGGGAAACGACGGTGTGACGTGTTTACGTTGAGAGCACAGGAGGAACGCAATTAGCAGCACTTCGATGAGGACGATGGTGTGATCATGATTGTACTGGCTTCCACCAAAATTAAAAAGAAAATAAAAATGCACACCACAAATCAGGAGAAAATATTTATAAAACACATAGCTGGCGAAGGACTTGAATCCAGAATAGATATGGAACTCTTCCAACTCAGTAATAAGACAGAGAGGCTAATTAAAAATAGGCAAAGGGTTTAAACAGAAACATCCTCAAAGATGAGATGTGGTGGAAAATATATACATGAACAGATGCTTAACATTATTAGTCACCAGGGAAACGAAAGTTAAAACCACAATGAAACACCACCACATACCTACTAGAATGGATTAAAAAAAAATAAAGCAAGCTAGTACAAAGTGACAATAGCCACTTGGTGGAGCACTAGCCACTTGGGGAAACAGTTTGGCAGTTTCTTGTGCAGTTAAACATACGCATGGGACTCAGCCACCTGATCCCCAGGTAAGTGACCAAGAAAAATGAAAGCACATGTCAGCCCAAAGACCTGTAGGTGGAGATTTACAGCACTTTTTTTCATAATGGCCCCAAAATGGAAACGACCTAAATATTTCTTCTCTGATAATGAAGTATTGAAATATTACATAATGAAATACTACTTAGCAATAAAAAGGAACAAGCTATGGATGCATATACCATGGATGGATTTCAAAAGAAAAACTGTGTTAAGTGAAAGAAGACAGATACAAAAGGCCACATACCGTATGATTCCATTCATATCAGACTCTCTGGAGAAGGCAAAACTAGGGACAGAAAGCACATTGGTTGTTGCCAGGAGCTGGAGGTGGGGAAAGAAAATCGACTATATAGAGGCATGAGAGAATTTTTCAGGGTGGTGAAAATATTTTACATCTTGATTGTGGGGCTTTTTAAAACAACTGCACATAATTGTCAAAACTCATCAAACTGTACACCTAAAATGGAGGACTCACACTGCATGCAACTTATTCCTTAATGCACTTGGGAAGAGTCAATAGCTACGAGTCAGAAATGAGATGGTCTTTGATGCCACATATTCTGTGCTCCTTCAGGTGGCCTCCAGGCACAGTGACAGTGTTTCCTGGCTAAGAAGCTCGCAGGCTGCTGGGATCCTGGAACCCCCTCGCTTGCCTGACATGGGTGCTCTGCCAGCTGGCTCAGGTTCCTTGGGCCCGGGATTCGGTTGCCCTAGTGACCACAGGCAGGTACTATGCCAAAGTTGTGGGGGGTATGCTCACTGCTACAGTAAAAGAGGGAACTCCATCAGGATGTGATTATTTAGATGTCACCAAGCCTAGCAGGGAGATGCAGAGAATGCAACCTATTTAAAAACAAAGAAATGGGCAGGGGAGAGCAGTGGGGGGAAAGGCAGGACAACTGTAACTGAACAACAATAAAAAAGTTTTTTTAATTAAAAAGAAAGAAACAGATGCTTAACAACTCAAAAAGGAAACAAAATGACAAATTAACAATCCAACAGGGTATTCCTGAGGACCACATTTCCAGCAGAAATTCCAGCTGTTGCCTTTTGTGTTCTGTGAGCTTTGCACTCCCTCTCCAGCTGCCTGGACCGGATACCAGGTCCTGTTCGGAGCCAGTGTGACCTGGGTGCAGGAGAGCATGGCCAGGCACCAGGGGTTGGACAGTTGGGGGCCATACGGACTGCACCAGACAACATAGTGATAGATATTTTGGGGGAGCCTTTTGCATGGGGTTTTTGTCTCCATTGCAAGAGTGAAATTGGTGTGTGGGTAGCATCAGGAAGGTGGGTGGCTATCTTTGTCAGATTTGGTATCAGGATGGTGTTGGCTTCATCAAGTCCATTCAGGAGCATGAAATCAATGCATTCTTTCCACCATATGCTCTGGAAGAATTTTAATGACGTAGAAATGACTCTCTATACCCGGTGTCTTTTTTAGAGATGACAACTTTTAAACTCTTGTGTGGTTATCGGTCTTTCACTCATCGAGTCAGTTTTGGCAATTTACAAATATGTGCCTGGAATATTATTATTTAATGCTGAAACACTCTAAGTCATAAGCATGGAGTTTTATATACTATTCTCTTAAATTTCCAAAGTCATCTCCATGGCTGTTAATATTCTATCTTTCTCAACTCATATCTTCTTTTTTTATTTTTGTTGTCCAGACTCATTGATGGTTGGTCCATTTTAATTTGCTCCTCCCTTTCACTGCCCATAAGGAGCAATCTAAGTATGAATCATGCTTCTCCTGGGAGGAATCCCGTGTCTCCTCCGCGGCCCCGCGCCCTGCCCCCCCCGCATTTAAGCCGCAGTTCCCAGCAGTCCTGATTCCAGAGAGCTGCGAAGGAAGGAGATGAAGGTTGAACAGTGTTCTGGCCATGCTTCAAAGCACAGGCTTTTTCTCTGGTCCCAGACTGCCTTTGAAGATCTGGGGGAAGACTGCCCTCTGTCTCCAG